GTTTCAGAATTAAGATGAATGGAGCAGTTCATCGTTTTGGGAGCTATGGTTTCAGGCTCTCTGCACACTCAGGTAGGGAAATCAGTTATGGTCAGGCAACATTTTAAAGTTTTTCTTTGCATCCATAAGCAAGAGAGATTTGGGGGATTTGCGGCAGGCTTTTTTAAGTGAAAACTGAGATTCTGACCTCATTGTTCGACCCGGAGTCTGGGTCCCCAAGCATAGGTCTGGTGTGGCTACACTTTAATCCAGTCCCCGAACCCATGCACTCGCTTAAAAATCACAGAGAATCAAGAAGCCATGGTCAATTGTGCCTAGGGAGAGGAATGTTATTGTGGTTTTTAAAGACACATAAGAAAACCCTCTTTCTAAGGATTAAGTGTCAAATAAGTCATCACACATTGTGCCCAAAAGACTCTGATATCTTTCCTAAGAATTCACTCATTAGCTACCATTTGCACAATGTCCTGAAGCTGCAACGAGCTATAAGGAAACACGGTGCAGCTGCTAATTTTAAAATTCCTTATAAAAACTAAGTTTTTCCAGAGCACATGGGAGAAAGGAAACCAAGGGTTACAGGTTAGACCTGCCAACATCCACAATCCACTGAGAAGACAGAAAGACAGTAAACAACTTGGGGTACTTCGACACAGCAGGGCAAAAGTCAAATTAAGCTACGTAACTTCAGCTACGTCAAGTGCGCAGCTGACGTCGAAATAGCTTAATTCGGGCTTGTGGCGCTGTCTACATGGCAGGAAGTCAAAGGAAGAACACTCTTCCTTCCCCTTCCCTTACTCCTTGTGAAATGAGGGTTACAAGAGTCAGAGTAAGAAGTCCTCCAGCTTGACATTATTTCGAAATAAAGGCTTGTTGTGTAGACACGCTCTTCATTATTTCGAAATAACATCAGTTATTCCAAAATAATGTTGCTGTGTAGATGTACCCTTGGGGAGTAAATTGTAAACTGTAAGGGTGCGTCCACACTACACCTGGAGCTCGAAATAAGCTACGCAATTTGAGCTATGCAAATTGTGTATCTTATTTCAATGTTATTTCGAAATAGCTTACTTTGAAATTTGGTGCTGTCTACACAGCACTTATTTAGAAATAACCTACTATTCCGAAACGTCCCTTACTCCTAGTGGAATGAGGTTTACAGGGACGTCAGAATAGCAAGCCCATTATATTTCGAAATAACGGACACGCTCAAAAGATGCGGGATAGCTATTTCGGGATACATCTGATATCCTGAACTAGCGCTGCAGTGTAGACATAGCCTAAGTGTCACTCACCGGCCAGAGCACCCCTTGTGGTAGAGCACGGCATAACAGGGTCTTTTCTCACCCCCCTCCCATATTACTAGCCCCTCCTGTCAACCCCCTCTTCTTACAACTCAGCCCTCCATCCAGGTCACATCTAATCCTCCTCCATGCAGGGTAACAGAGTCCAACAGCCTCATGCCTTGATCCAAGTCCCAGCTCATTAGCCCTTCCACCCCTGATCTCCAGGGTCCTTCCACCCTCTGTGTTCATCCCAGGCTCTAAACAGCCTCTCAGGGCTTGTTTGCCTTCCTTAAGAGCTGGTGCTCACAGGACTCATCACCCCCCAACAAATCCTTCGTGAAGATACAAAAGATTTCTGCCTCCTGCAGGATTGAACTCACATCCCGCCCCAGCTGATTCTGTGACTCTTTCCTAGAGGCAGTCAGTTCCTGCAATTAAGCCATCCACACAGAATCAGCTGAGGAATAGTTATGGTGTCACAGGCGAGACATATGTTCACAGCAGGCTCCAAAGGCCACTGGCCACAAACACCTTGCACTGACAATTATGAAACATGAGTGTGTGGCACACACACAGGTCAATGGTCTGGGTCGGGGCTGGCTCTGGTTACTGGACCTGCTGGGACCCACAAGCCTTTCCCGCGAGCCGAGCAGGAAACCAAACAGTCCGAAAGCAAGCCTGGATCTACGGGGGACGCAGCACTTTGCATTAGCCCCGAGAGAGTGACCCTGTCCCTTTGGCTTCCATTCCGCCCACAGGAAGGGAGTCACCGTACCAGAGGCTGGCCAGCAGCGTGAGCTGTGAAGAAGGGAGTATCAGATGTCCAGCAGGTGCAACAAGAAATTCACAGATGATATAACCCTTCTCTGATGAGTGCCAGCGACTGCTGGCCCATCACTGTCCATTGGACACAAGCCTGCCATGGGTGAGAAGCAATTGAGAGGTCAGGAGTCACCAGCTAACACCATGGAAAGCTCTTGGGCTGAGTGTGCTTTGGAGAGGGCCGGCCGGCCGGCGTGCAGGCAGGACTCTCCTTCCTCGGGGCTCCGCTCAGTCCCTTCCTTTCTGCCCACATGGCTAACGGCCCCAGCCCAACTGCAAGCAGGACTGAAGCCAGCCGAGTGGTAGCTGCTTGCACCCAAGCTGAACAGAAGATGAGTTGCTCTGAAGAGAGCCAGCCCGGTGCAGATAAGAGTTTCTGCCTGGCACCAGGCGTCTCTTGCAACCCTGAGCTCCCCTCCTGCCCCTTTTCTGTGGCCGAGGGGGTCTGGGGAGGCAACCGGGGGAGGGTTATGGGGGGAGAGAAGGCCCCTGCCAGCTGGGCGGGCTGAGGGAGGAAGAGCAGGCTGGGGGAAGCTGCAGGGACAGAAGACCCCTGCTGGCTGGGGCAGTGGGCGGAGGGGTGAAGGACCCTGTCTGGAGAAGGGGAGGAGGTAACCCAGTCCTGAGTGGCATCCCGCCAGCTGTGCCCAAAGATCCCTACAGCTCCTGCCAGGGGGACCAGAGACTCCCTCCTTGCCCGTCTCTCTCAGCCGTCACACCAGCCAGGGGCCGGTCACTCCTCACTTCCCCTCATTGTCAGTGACTAGTTGGACAACAGGCCTGTTTCTGGAAGGGCTGGCTGCCCAGGATACCTGCAACTCCAAGTTTCTGTCGCAGCACCACGAGCAGGAGTTGCTGCTGGGCATTTCCTCCTGCTTTTAATAGCAAGGCCCTCCCCATCCATTAGCCGCTGATGGGCTGGTACCATCCCCCCTTTTTGACAGCAGGGAAAATTAAGGCACAGAGGGAAGTGACGTGCCAAGGTCGCAAAGGGAGATCGTGGCAAGGCCAGAACCTAGGTTCTACAACCACCCCTTATCTGCTGCGGGACTCCAGGTCTTATCTGTTCCCAAGGCTGCTGCCTGGGCCCTTGCTGGTCACGGAACAGAAGATTTTGTTCCCGGGGCCATCAGACAAGCCCCTTTTGCCAGTGCTAGAAGTGACTCCCACTCCCAGCGTGGGACACCGCAATGCACAGCCTCCCTCCCAGTGCCTGTGCACATGGAGTTCCTTTCAGGGGAGGGGATGAGGGTGGGAAAATGCACACAGAGGGCTCAATTCTGCCCTGGCACTGGCTTTTTGCTAGCAAGCACCACAGTCGCTCTTGATCTACCTGGCCAGGCCAGGAGAACTGGATCTGTCAGGCTGAATTTTGCTGCTTGTGCCAGTAGACGCCTGCTGGCCTCACAGGGGTGTACCACAGAGCAGAATCTGCCCTATTGATTATAGGGATGCGGGGACATTCCCCAAGCGTCTCCAAGATGCTGCCTTAGATCCCTGACTAATGCCTGTTAATCATGCCATGGCTGGGCTCCCCGGGCAGAGAAAAAAGCTGGTGACTAAGCCGTCGGGTGGTGTCCCTTCTCCACCTTCCCCACCTTGCAGCAGCGGGCAGCTGCTGAATGCACCAGGTGATCCTGCCGATCCTGCCTGGGAACTGCCCCAAAGGGACCCTGAGTTCCCCCAGAAGGGGGCACTCATCCTGGGGGGTGAAACGCACCCGATCAGAGCAGGGGGAGGGAGCATCCGTGTCCACCATCCCCAGAGAAGCAGGGAGGGAAGAGAATCAAGAGGAAGAAGAGTGGAGGCCCAGCACACAACGATCCCTTCCTGGGGTGAGCGTAGCCAGCCAGGGGAGTTGCTCTAAGTCGTCCGGCAATGAAGATGGGGACACTGGTTTGTTCTGGCATGGGGAAAATAGCTGTTCTCAGCGCAAAATAAAGAAAAGAAACCACGCCAGCTGTGCCATTCCTACACACAAATATTTGTGACTTGGGTGGGCGGGTTGGTGGCGGAGATGGGGTAGCAGGGCAGAGAAAGCTGGGGAGCTCACTCAGCATGCTGGAAAAGCCAATGCGTCTTGCTCGGCATGCTGGGAAAGCCAAGGGAGCTGCTACTCCTCGGGGGCGAGCAGGGACTCAGGCAGGTCCTGCCCTGCCGTCCAGGGGTCTGGCATTGTGCTGGTGAAGGCTGCAGGAAAGAATTGCCCAACTCTGCTTCTCAGATTGTAAGTGCTGCGGGGCAGGGACCGTCTTTTGGTTCGGGGTTTGTACGGGGCCTAGCACCACAGGTCCTGTGCCAAGACTGGGACTCCTACGCGGAACCATGAGATGAATAATAAATCACTCATCTGTCAGCTGCCCGTCTCACAACCCTACAGTGTATCCCAATACCACGCTTGCTTGTGACTCAGTCACAAGCGAAATCCCTCCTTCAATCCGCGTCTCAAGCTTAGAGCTGGCAACCCCTCCTAAGCTTAGGGCTACGGTGAGTGGTCTTATCTGTCATTCACAAAACCCCACCTTAGTCGATCCCTGTTGCTCCGACAAGTTCACATTCTTTACTTTGAACTTACAACAATAGCGTAATGAACTGCCTGGCATGTATGTGCATACCCATGCCCTCTTAGGGTCGTCATCAGAGCTTCTCAACTGTGTGCCATTAACCCTACACTGCTGGCGAGAAAAGGGGATTCTCCTTTAAGTCAAGTGACAGGGGCTTGGTGAGCTGGAGGTATCTGACACCTCTACTGCTGACACCAAGTTCAAAATGGGCAGTGGAGTGGCAATGGGAAAGTTCTAGGAACCCAGGAATTTGTCTTAAGTTTCCCTTCTACATTTATCCCTCCACAGAGGAGGCCCGTCTGAGTCACCCATTCTTTGGCGTTCAACTTACCCACAAAGATTACAATTCAGTTAAACAGGCCCCTTCAATTCTGGGCGTGCTCACAGGTTTCTTCTGAGGAAAAAGGCCATTGTCACGGGCCTATTGATTTGTGTATTTTGGAGGAGACAGAGGAGATCCTGACTAGCCACAACAAGGAGATGATCCTATCAAGGGAGAGGAAGAGCCAATGGAGTCAGCTCACTAGTGAAAGGGGCATGGCCCATGTGACCAAACTGTGCCTGGGCAGTCCAGCCAAAGGGCTCTCCGTGCCAGGAACAACCACCAAAGAGGTTTGCACCACTGCAGTGCTCCTGCCTTGGGGCCTGGCGCATGGGCGGTGGGTGAAGGTACAGCTGGGGGAGGCAAGCCCTCAGCCCCACCCCTTCTGCCGAGGCCCCGCCCCTCACAGGAAGCAAGCCTCCTCCCCCACCACCACGGGGAGGCAAGGCAGCATGCCACCCCCCCCACCCCAGAATGGGGAGCACAGGGAGGAAGGAGGGCGCCCGGCCCCAGCTTCCCCAGCCCTGGAGCATGGGGAGGGTGGGTGCTCCGGGATAGCAACGCTCTGCCCCTCGTAGGCCTTGTGGGGGTGGAGTGTGGGCAGGGCCAGGCTGGCGGTTGAGGAAGGCCCCACACCTGGCATACCCCCCACCGCCCAAGGCCTGGCTCCAGGGGTACAGAAATTCCAGTGTAGACAGAGAACAAGAGAGAGGGGGAGCTTCTGGTCTTGAGTGACGGGTGGCCTCCATGCCGCAGCCCCCCTTGCAAACTGGCTGCTGGGGTTTTTCAGCATCTCCAGCCCCCCAGCTCCCAAGGGCTTCTTGGTTAGGAGGCTCGGCTCACGTTGAGCCCAGGGAACCAAACATTCCCCCCCCCCCGTTCTCCCACCCGGCGTGGCTCTGTGACAATGTTTGTCTTGGAAAGGGCTTTCTTACCCAGACCCTGCGCCCGGCAGCCAATGGAGCCTCCAAGGGGAACTGAGGACGGATCCCGTTCAAATGCCAGACTTGGTCTCCTGTCGGGAAAACAACATGTGGCATCGCTGCTGCTCGTTAGCGCAGCCTTCCCCTCTGCCTCAGACGGCGGAATTGGCTCTGTCCTGGGCTGAGCTGGGGGGGGAGGGGAGGGCTGCCTCGAAAGCCCCGGGCTCCCTCCAGCCCACGCAGGCCACTCCCAAAGACCCTACAGATGTGGGCACCCACACAGCCTCTTGGGCTCACGGGAGCGCTGCTCTGAGCGCTCAGCCCAGCCCCCTGCCAGCCAACATGCACCGACAGCTGCTGGGCAGGGCTGGCTCCCAGCTGCTCCACGGGGCCCCCCGCCTGTTTGGCTCCCTCTCACTGCAGCACCCTTCTTCTGCCCCCTCCCTCCCCCTGCCCCAGAGCTCTGTGGCCTACGGCCTCATGGCCTATTGGGTAAAATGGCCCCGGGGCAGTTGTTAGGTACCTCACCCCCCAGAAGTCTGGAAGGGGCTGTTCTCTGCACCTTTCCCTGCTTCAAGACCATCCTCTGCTCAGTCCAGAGCCCATCCTAGGAGGGGGATGGTTTCCACAGACTCTCCCCATCACACACTGGGGCTGCCCCCTTGCACTACCCCACAGCTTCCCAGCCCATACTGGGAAGGGGGCTGTTTCCATAAACATGGTCCTCAAACTGCTGGCTACCTTCAGTGCCCACAGGCAGCCTCTGTGCCCCACAGTCCCATGCTTCCTTGGAGCCTCACCCACGTGGGCAGGGTTCAGCTACCGGGGGCTCCTTCATGCACTGGGCTGTGGGTTCATGTGGGTTCCCAGAAGCAGCCATGCAAGCGGGAGAGGAGAACTGAACCAGGGGAGAACCTCATTCAAGGCCTTTGTCAATCCTACTTCCCCAGCCTGCCGGCCATTCCTCCCCCCACGGACACGCAGCATCACCCCCCGTGGACAGGTGACGCAAGACAAGAAGCCAGAGCCTCATTCATCCCCAAGCTGGTTTTAGGATTGGGACAGAGCCCAGAGGAATCACTCTGGAAGGGATCCCCCACCCCGAGCTCAGCCTAGACCAGGACTAGACTCTTGGAGGGAGCCAGCAGCAAATGGTTCATTAATTAACACTGAACCTCTCCGGGAAGCCACCTAGAGAACTGCTGGGATGGAGTGGTCTGAGGAGCCAGTAAGGTGAGGATAACCCCCCACTTTGTAGCGCACCCCCATTTACCTCTCCTCTGCTCAGCACCATCCGCCAGCGCTCGCCTGGTCTTCTCAAAAGAGCAGCTAGCTGGAGACTGAATTGATGCGGCAAACAGACCTTCCACGGGAGCTGGCCTTAGACTCTCCTGACCGGGTTATGGGCCTCACAGCTTGGCTCGTCCCCATGGCTCTCTCCTACACACAAGGTACATCGACACCGCCAGAGCGGGTGGCATTGAGGCAAGGATAAGCACCGCTGTGCTAGCTATTACAGCTCACAATAGCAACGTACGTACTGTAAGGCCAACAAACCTGGATTGCAGGCAGGTAGAATTGAACCTATGACCTGAGGGGTTAAATCCATGAGCCTTTACAGCAGGGGTGGGGACCCTCAGGACTGGGGCCCGCATCCAGCCCCCAGGCTTGCCTGGATGCGGCCACCAAGGCTCAGGGCCTCCCTCCCCCAGCATTGGGGAGGCAGCGCTGGCTCTCCAGTCCCCCTCTGCCCCACTGCATGGCGGGAGCACACAAAGTCTACTAGGCTGGGCCCCCCATGGCTCTGGTGTGCGAGGGGAATGTGGAGAGTGTCTTTCTCCTTCTCAGTCAGGGGCCACGTCCGTGACGTTTTAGGGGTCTTTTTGCTTCTCGCTTGCGTGTGGCCCCCAACTGATTTTTCTGTGGGTCAGTGGCCCCCAACCCACAAAAAGTTCTGCCCCCCTCCCGCTCTACAGCAGGAGCTAAAAGCCAACTAGCTCTCTGCTAAGTCTGTAGAGCAAATTTCACGCTCTCTTGTCAGGGGTCTCGGTGCCTCTGGGTTACCACCCAGTGGAAGAGACTTCTGTAAGCAAGCAGAGTACATGCCCAGGGTGCCGGGGGTCAGGTGCACCACATCTGACAGCGAGTCCCCCAGCCTAGGCAGGCAGACACACGCCTGCACAGCCTAAGCTGATGCCCTAAGAACAGCCGCGTGGATGTCGCAGCTCAGGCTTTCAAGCCAAAGGGATCGGGGGACGGGGGGAGGGGAGCTGCAGCTGAAGCCGCAATGCCCATGCTGCTGTTTTTAGCACACTAGGGCCAGTCTGGTGGCCTGACCTGGGGCATTCCAGCTGCAGTGTGGCCATACCCTGGAGGACTTGGACTCTGCCATCACATCTCAGCAGCTGGCGTTTACCTGGTCGAACGAGATGAAAGTTGGAAGAGGGATGCTGCTCCCCCTGGCTACAATCCACCTTTAGTTGCTTTAAACAGGACCAGCCCAGTCCTGCTTTTCTAGGGTTTGTCCCCTGTCCAGTGCCCAGATAACACCAGATGTGGCTTTGGGCAGTATAGGGTGGCCTGGGGGTGCCCCTTTTGAAGAGCACTGATAGGTGCAAAATCACGCTGGTACGACGGGGCAAGACAGCGCGCTCTTAAAAAAACGGTGCCCCCTGCGCGGTGTGACCGCACATGCACCATACATCCAAGGTCATGCCAGCAGGGGTAGGGGCATGCTGTTCCCAGAAGTACCAGAATGTCCAGGAATTCCTGAGTGCCCTCCTCCCAATCCACACTCTAGACCAGGGGCACTGGAATTATTTTTAGGGTGCTGAGTTGCACCCCCTCCGCCAATGTTCCCTGTAAGCGGAGTGCTTGGGCAAACACCCAGGAGAGATTCAAATGCAGCCCAGCTGATTAGCAGAGAGCCCGCCGCCGGCAGCATGTGTTTCTACTGGTGGTGCACATCAGTGCACCTAACAAAATTTATTCCACACATGGATGGAAAAATTAGAGGGGACATTGTCCCAAACCTTTTTGCACTGCCCCAGGCTGAGATCACACCTAGGACTGGATGGACCGGATGGATGGAATGTTTCAGGCTTCCCCTCCACACCAGGAGCATTCAGGTAGGGCAGCAACTTTCTTGACAGGCGCCGAAGATTGAAGAGGGGCCCTCTTGAGCACTAATAAGCCTCAGTGGCTATTGCTTGAGCTAAGGAGCCAGACTGCCTGGAGCTGTGAGCTCTAAGAGACTCCCCTGCCTGCCAAGTGCGGCCGCCCCACATGCTGAGCAGTGGGTTACACAGCATCCGTCCGCCCCACGGGCTAGGAGAGCAGGCTCCTCAAGAAAACATGGGGGGGTTCCCTTAAAGGAAAAGGTTATTTCCTCCCCCCCACCGTCTCTCCTCTCCAAGTCCCTGGGGGTATGTCTACACTAGCCCCATAGTTCGAACTAGGGAGGCTAATGTAGGCATTCGAAGTTGCAAATGAAGCCCGGGATTTAAATATCGCCCTGCCCGCCCCTAGAAACTACCCCGGGGCTGGGGTGTAGGTGGGGCAGGAGGATCCCATTGTCATCAGAGGCCACTGAGTGGTTTCCTGAGGAGACTTTCAGGGGGAGACCTGTCCTGTTAAAATACGGCATTTTCTTCCCACCCCGGCGTGTTCCCTCGCGCTGGCCCCAGGACACGCTGCCAGCGGGGAGCTGGAACAGATCTCAGCGTCTGGGACACTGGGCTTTGTTTCAGAGAATAGAGTTAGAACTGTTACTCAGCCTGCTGCTATTCCAACAATTCCAGCCTCCACTTTCACTCTGCCATGGGGGGGAGGGGGGGACATTCCTGGCCTGGTGTCCTCTCTCCGGCCAAGAAAAATACTCCCTGGGCCACAAGGGGGGAGGGCGGAAAATGCTGGGGGCGGGGGGAGGGCTGGTCCATACAGAACTATCTGCCCCCTCAAGATCTGCCTCCTGTGCATTGTGCCGCTGCCTCCCTGCCCGGCCTCTGCGAAATGCCTCCCTGTGTGGCTGCAGAGATGATTTATACTGGCCGGGCTACAATGGCCTTTCACTGCTGCGCTGCTGGAGCAAGAGGCACGTCTTGCAGCTCGCCACTCGGGGCTGCTTTCCATCACGGCCCTGGGAAGGCTGCGGGCCCTATTCTCTTGCACCACTGTGACTCCTCCGACGTGGAGCCAGGGGGGATTCCTGATTGACTCCAAACAGCCCCTGGGTTGTCCTAACCGGAGCCATTCTACTGCAAGGGAGGCCTTTGGCTTCTCGCTGGCCAAAAGCTGGGACTCAGGGTTCAGCCTCAGCTCCCTGTATGCCCTGTGCCAGGCACCTCCCTGTCTGTGTCTCCCTTTCCCCACCTGCTAAATGAGACGCGGATGCAGCCCCCAGCTTGCCTGGATGCGGCCCCCGTGGCTCAGGGCTTCCCCCCTGCCCCCACCAGCATTGAGGGTGCTCCAGCCCCCCTGCAGTCTCCCTATGGGGCTGGAGCACACAAAATCTCCCAGGCTGGGCCTCCCCCCCCAGGCTCTGGCGTGGGAGGGGCATGTGAGGAGTGTCTTTCTCCTTCCCAGTCGGGGGGCACATCTGTGAGGGAGGTATTTTGGTTCTCACTTGTGTGCAGCCCCTGACTGATTTTGCTGTGGGTCAGCATCCCCTCCCCCCCCAAAAAAAAGGTTCCTCAGCCCTGTGCAGAGTGATCTCTCATGGAGGAGTGAAATTAACACACTCATTGTATTATGGTGGTGCCTGGAGGCAGAACCCAGCTATGAGCCCCTTTGTAAAAATGGGAAAAGCAGATTCAATAATTTACCTGGTGGGAATCAAACCCAGATCGCCTGTACCAGAGTCCTGGACCGTAGCAAGCCCCTCCTCCCCACCCAGTATGTGTTGGAGAGAGATAGCTGCTCTCCCCAAACACCATGGCAGGACTCCCCGCTGCTCCGGTCACTGCATAGAAAACAGTGGTTTCGGAAAGGCCACAAGCTACCAGGTTCCTAAGTGGGAATACTGCAGTGGAACATGTAGCTCCCAGCCGTGGGACAAGAACGGAGACGGCTAGTCAAAGGTTGCCAGTCCCTCGACCCTGTGTAAAACATGACTCACTCGCTAATAGT